TCATTGTGATCCTCCAAGTTACTGGCTATTCATAAGTGCACACACACATACACACACCATCCAAAACATGAACGTGTCAGTGTACACATGTGCGCGCGCGCACACACACACCGTGCACACAAGAGATGCGGTTACTACAGTATGGAGAAACTTTATTATCCAGCCAAGGACACTACTTTTATTATACATTCTTTGCATAATGTTCATAAAATGAAGAAACACAGCTCTCAGGCCTGAAGAAATGTTGTGATGTGCAAAGATAATGCTGCAATAAATTGTATTACTGTTGAACACAAAGAAGGTTCATTCATATCAACTATGACAGTTCATATGCAAGACTAGCAAAATCAAAATAATCCCTAAAACAATAACATTCTGTGGCATACAACTGTAAGCATTAACAAAACACCAATCCTGAGCAAGATTTGATCATATGCCCTACAATGCACTGCAGGATATAGAGCACAAGCATAATGACTCCAGCTGGATGTAACTGGCACCTGGAATGTTAGTCTAATGGATTTGCTATTCACTCTTATCTGCATAGTACAATAAAAGTAAAAGTAAAGTTTGTCCCACTATACGCCATGTAGGCGTTTGGGGTGAGTGGAGGTATAGCTCCTCTCTTCCTTGACCTCAGCACTAGATGGGGGTGAGTGGTCAGCATCACGCCCCGGCCGGCTTTACCCCCGGTACCCATTGTAGAGGAGGCTGGGTGGGCCCCAGAGCCGATCTGGACGCAGAGGCTAGAGGAAAAACCCTCTGCCCCCGTCGGGGATCGAACCCCTGTCGTCCAGCCCATAGCTAGTCACTATACTGACTGAGCTATCCCGGCTCTGCATAGTACAATAAACACACAATAATTAGATATTAATTTTGTAAGGATGTTTTCTAATCACAAACTAAACTGTTAATTCATGGAGTGTGATTTAAATTGTTAATTGACGGAATGCTATTGAACATGTATGTGTGGATTTAGAGGCGCATCAGCTGTAATGGCTATCTGCACCTATATATACTTGGAGGTTGAATAAAAATGGAGCTGCTCAAAGAAACTTGTATGGTTCACTTGCAATGACAGCTAGAATAACCATACATAAGGCTGCATACAGGCCTTGACAGTGGGATTTGGAATAAAATGACCTTGTTATTGAAATATAAACTTATGGATGCCTGGCTGTAGAAGGGCCCTAACATATATGATAGGCTATGTGCATATACGAGGTGCGATCGGAAAGTTTCAAGACTGCGCGTATAAAAACCCGTACACTTATCTCAGGTATTAAATTCATCCATCACCCTCGAAGTAGTTCCCCTGGGAGTGAACACAACGATCCCAGCGCCGCTGCCAAGCCTGGAAGCATCCCTGGAAATCTTTCTTTGTCAGCCTGTCAAGCACCATCTGCGATTCTGCCTGAATCTCTTCTATCGTCTAAAATCTCCTTCTCTTTAGCTGAATTTTCATCTTTGGGAAGAGGAAGAAGTCACACGACGAATAAGGATGGTGTGGGATGACGGCCATGGTGTCTGAGGCCAAAAACTGCCGAACTTTGAAGGCGGTGTGCGCTGGTGCGTTGTCATGATGCGTCGCATGTGGAGTTCTTCCTTTAGAATCAGCTGACAGGGAATGCCTCACAAAAGTTTGTGCACGACCCATTGCGGACTCCCCAAATGCTTGCTTTAGCATTTCATAGGTTTCCGTAGCCGTTTTGGCGAGTCTTTGGCAAAATTTGATTTGTTCATGAAAATCCGCCATTCCGAAATCGCAAAACGCCCGTAACTAAGAAACAAATGCTAATTCGATGATGCCGGCTGGCACACTGATTCACTATGAATGTAGGCCGCACCACCTAAAGGCAGAAGCTCGTACTACATCCGGTTCGCCCTCTATTGACACAGTCTGGAAAGTTTCCGATCGCACCTCGTACTATACACAGCATTCAAAATGTAAAGTTGCAACGAACACATGTCAACGTACTTCAGTATCAAGTGCACTTTTCAAACCAGTTGTTCTCGTGTGCAAGAGGAGCTCCACACTCCACCTTACCCGTTCATTACTTCTCTCTTGAAGATGAATGTATTCTGGAATGTTGTATCAGGTAGAATTGTCATCTCATGTGTCTCAGAGATGCTTACCACCTACATCATTACCCTGACGATGGAGTCAGTAAGCACCTCTGAAATGTAAGTAAACTTCTACCAGATTACATGGAACAACATCCCAGAAGACAGTCGTCTTCATAGTTTCCACCATGAGAATACAGGGGAAATTAAATGGCCTCACAGGACAAAGGAGTTTCTCCATACTGTACAGTATACTAGACTAAGTTTATAGATATACATGCAAAATTAATGTACTACACCATGAAGTGCTCAAGTTCAAAGTTATTAGTAAATGAGGAATATTGAATGGTACACAGGTACTGCACAAGTCAAAATCTGGCAAGGCAGCAGTTGCAACAAAAGTTAGGACTGGATAAATGGGCTTTGCTGAAGCATTTCAGTTAACATATAACATGGCACCAGTAAATAAAAAAATAATAATACCATTTTAACATTTTATACAGAACTCCAAAAAGTAATTCTTCCTAGGACACATTACAGTTCCAATTATTTTCATTCTCAAGATTAATGCCATGAAGATGGCACGTCTTTTTTTTTTACAAAGTAACACGTGACACAGCATTAAGAAATGCAAATACCATATTTCTTTGTGTCGATACATTATTACTAGAGTAATCCACCAGGCAGTGATTTTATTGTATAGGTCTACTACAGCAATATGTTACATCAAAAATCTGTTGGATATTAAACATACATTTTAGTTTTCAGTGAAGATATTTGTAATTCCTGTTTATTTAACTTTTAAAACGCTCGTTACAAAGGACTGCAACTTCAGCTCAAGAGAATAAAATATCCCACTGTTATGATAAAAACTACAGCTTGAGTAGGTCCCCCAGTGCCATTATGGCAAATGCAGCTCAGACAGTAAGATTATTCAGTGCCAACTACTCACTGTGTTGCGGCTAATTACAAATATATTCAACAGTTTCTCCAAAAGGTATCATATAATTTGCACATAACTTTCCAACATAATACAACACACTATGAGAAATCAAAAATATGTATTGATTCCTTACAGTATTTGATGGAAAGAATTTTATTTACCCATCAAAATTTGCTTAGTCATGCCTGGTTGTCCAACAGGATTGAAATATTCTTTATGAGGAACTATATCTGACAATTTAGAACACAAACAGGTACAATAGCCTTTAAATAAAACAGAACTTTCTACAAAATCTAGGAAGAATTACTGGAACAAAGAAAGATTAATAAGGCTGAAAAAGTGCACAGCGCACATTTAAAATGGTCATCTCATCTAGCTCAGTTTTAGACATGAAAAATCACAAACACAAGAAAATTCATGTTCCATACAGTATCAGCCTTATTAAAGGCACAAATTTGTCCCCAAAATATTTGTATTCAATTAATATATCCAAACACAAAAATTATGTGTGATGTGACAGTCTATGGTGTACAATTTGGAATGGATTTTAGCAAGAAGTCTGAATACTGTATTCCATTAATATTACATGGAACATAATACATGTGATCAAATACATACACACTACTCAGTTAATATGCACCCATGTACTTGGTTGGAATACACTTAAAACAATAAGGCTATGAAGAAAAAAGATTTTAATACTTTTAATAATAAAAAGTAAATGATCATAATATTACATATGTCAAATATGGGCATTCCAGCAACTGTATGATAGAAGATGCACACAGTCTTAATCAAAAACAAGACTGGAACAGTTACTTAGAACTCGTTAGTAAGGGATGGATGGATATCCGTGTGCACTTATCATTACAATTATCCTACTCACTACAATAACCTCTATAATTTAATCTTCTACAATGGGTCGGCCTCATAGAGATAACATGGCATAAGGATTATCATGGGAAGTGATTTTGAGGGATGAGTAAGCACAGGAATTCAAAGAAAAGACTTTATGTAGGAATAAAAATAAGGATAGCAAGTAAAGCACATGTGGAAAGAGGAACAGACTGAGAAGAAAAAAGTATTTACAGGCTCACTTACAATGTACTTACAAATTTTTCTACCACCTTCCTCTGCCAGCAATCAATGAACTACTTGCCATAGGCTAAGCTCTAACTGTGCCAGGTTTTCATTCAGAATGTGTGATTTGAAAGGTGCTCTTGCTTATAAATCAGACTGCGTTATAATTCTAAACTGTGAGAAAAAATCTTACATTCATCTCAGAAATACATATTAACATTTCATAGGAGTGGAACCCATGACACACCTGCTATCAGAACATCCATAGAATTTCAAAATAATCCATATTTTATTCTGTACAACTTAGCACCAAGTCTCTCAACTTTTATGCTGGTCTGACCAAACCATGCAATGTTTTTGGCGGCAAAGTAAAATCATACAGTTTGTGATGATTATGTTCTGGGTTTTGGCACTGTGCAGACTCGTCAGTATATACCAATGTTGGAGAAACGTACCGTCTCCATCTTCAGTGCCAAAGTGGCAATGTTGGGAAGCGGAGGGATCTATACATATTTAGAAAGAAAGGCTGAGGGAGTGGGCCAATCAGGGATAAGGAATGAGGGAGAGAAAGTTCCAGGCCATTCTTCATCCTTGCTTGGCTCACTCCGCCATCCTTCACTTCCTCCAACCTTATGAAAGTCACTCCTCTTCAGCCCTGAAGATGGTGAGAGTGTATTTCTCCAAACTGCTGGTATCTACTGACAAGTCTACGCGGTGCCAAAATCCAGAAAACTATCATGATCCTCACCACCATGAAGACCTCAAATCTCATATAATTTGTGTCTGTGATTGTGAACTAAATTTTATAACCGAATACCACATGTATGTTTTTTGTTTTTGTTTTTTCAGTTTTCAAAAATATGATGACTGCTCTCAAAATAGTAGTTGATGGTTCATACATACAATATCTCACCTGGCAGTTTGAGTTGGTGTGTTAGCTGCAGATCCCTTCTTTCCTTCCAGAGAAGCTAGGTGCTGCTCAAGGGCATCGAGGAGACTACTAGGTGCCTGCAAACACCACCACCAATCACTTCAAATGTAGCCTAGAATTCTGAAAAGTATCTGACAATTCTGTGCATGCTACTCTTCACATATTAATTGTTAGGGTGATTAAATGAAGAACAAGACTTCTAACACACACGGAATAAACAATAAATACATATCAAATTTGGCTTCAAAACCCACGAGGAAGGAAAGCACTTGGGTAACTTTGATACAGATGGGAGAATATTAAAATAAATCTTAGACAGGCAAACTAGACAACTACTTCAGGATATGGTTTTTCAAAAATTGGTTTAGAATCTTTGGGTTAAATTACAGCACAGAATTTCTTGACCAGTCACGTAACCTGAGTAAAACCTCAGTATAATGAACTTTCGTTGACTTACACTATATTTATAAAAATGAAAGGCAATAAAAAAATTAATAACTATAGATTTGCTGTTCTTACAAAGTCCGTCAAATAAGTGACACATTGAATGTTTGTTATATTTGTGAGTGTAAAAACCATTGTTCATACCACTATTACAACATAAAAGCACACGTACCTACTCAGCATTTACACATTTATGGGAATTATCCTTCATAAGCTGGTAATATAAATCATGATATGTATTGTTCATGTGTGAAGTCTTATATGATCCAACTGGCGTGAGAATTTAATTTGTAATTTCACAGGACCCACTTGCTCATCGCTTACTTTCTTCACTTTCTGATGTACTACGTATGTGATTAGATTCTTGATTGCCATCAATCTGATTAACACTATCACTAAAGATTTTCATCCACATAATAAAAAACTTACACAATATTGACATTACTTGTCTCATTATTCTGCACCATATTGCATACTATGGGAATCCAAACAAAGTTGAAAGATTTTCATCATGTGCTTCAATCCTAAAAAGATTATCATCAGAATATCTTTGTCTTATAGTTAACTAAACCAATGTCTAGATTACAGCACATGCAAAGATTTGTATGCTTGTGACAGCAATATATTTGTAACTGTCTGAAAGAAACATTGGTATTTTTTTAATTATGAAACACTGCTTGCACTGCCAGCGTAAGGTTCACTTGGAAAAGGTTAACATGTTCTGAATGACACTTTAAAGAAATTTCATTAAACAAAACATATTTTAAAAAAAATGGGGACAGGTTTTACTGCATGACACCAAAATTGCATCTACATTCAACGTTGTGAAATATATTTCCATAACATTATATGGTACTTGGTAGGGGATAAACAATATATTCATTATACTGGTGTTCATCATACTACAACTTTGCTACATCACCTGATCAAGAAAGCCCAAGATCAAGAAGTTACATTACGCATTTTACAGCAATTTAAGAAAATCTTTCAACCCTGAACACTGGTGGTCGACAAAGAAAGTTCTTTTCCCGTCATGATTCAGTGTCAGCTATGAACAATTTTGCTACAAGACTCATGTCTACTCATTTATGAAGCGATAAAGTCACTATATTTATATTATGCCAGTTGTCCCAAAATAAGACACCCTATTCTGGGGGGGGGGGGGGGGGAGGTTGACAAAAAGGCATTTGTTAATACTGAGTTTATTGGCATTGCCTAGTGACAAGTAAATAAAAAATATATTAAAAAACGCACAACCATTATTTCAATTTCTTCATTGGAACTATCTTGTTTAAGTGATTTCCCAAAACAGAATATGAGTGATAAAGTAAATTATATCTACTATAAAAATTTGTGATTAGTCGTTGTCGTCAAAAAATGACGTCATCAACAATGTCAACTATAAACAAAATCGGCATTGTTGTGTTCCACAACAATGCCGAGTAAACAAATAACGCTTCACAACAAAGAAATCAAAAACTATCAAGCCAGTCGCATTATCACTGCTC